GTACGCACGCATTTATCCCTAGAAAACTTCTCCCATATTATCTTGTGTTATACAGCACAAAACTAATGGCCTTTAGGATAAAACACAACACATTCCTGCTTTAGTGTGTTTTTTGTGAACAGTAGAAAGACGTGAGGTAGTGAGAAGCTGTTCTTTTGCTTGATCTTTCATTTACATTTAAACTGAAATGCTGCTGAAAAAAAAATCAGAATCATCCGCACAGAATTATCATCCATGATGGTCATTCTCTGCTCTCAGCTTAATGATAATGTGTGAATAATGTATGTCTTTTAAATCTATACCCAAAATCAGACGTTTTCTCCAACCACAGAAACATAATAAATTTATATATGCTCTTTTAAAGCTTTTTTTGAAAATATCTCTCTGACTCTCAGCAGTAACACGCTTCTCTGAAACAAGTTCTGAATCAGGGGAAGTGGGGCTTCTGTATCTTTAACATTAGCTCTGCAGTTATAAGGATTACTAACTCCAACATTCCAAACTTGTATGTTCCCTAAATACACCAGAAGGGAAGCCAGCTCTTGTCCTGCCAGTGAAACTTGGTGTGAACAAAACCAGAACTGCAGAAATAGTTTGAAGACAGGTGTAAATACAGCCTGCAGCTCCGTCTCAGTGAGTGAGATATATTTAACATTGTTGTGAAGTGAGATGGACAGTCTGGGAGGAGATGGAAGCTGGAGGAGGCCTGGACAAGTGTCGCTCTAGTCATCAACAGAAAGCCTCTCCAGAGGATGACAATAATAACCTTCCTACACACTGTCAGTCTGACCCCCCACATGTCCCCGTGCTTGGGCCTTTGTCTCTGCATTTGCTACTGTTTACAGCCGTTGCTGTGATAATCAGCGATCATTGTGCTAAAGTGATAGTGAAGTAGCAAAATTACATCATTTTGAAAAGGTTCATAAAGCAGTGGTTCCTCAGGCTTTTGTGGATAGTTGAATTTACTTTTCTACCACAAAAGCACTCACTGAGGTATTGTGCTTTATGTGTACAATGAGAGACAATATTATCACCAAAGAATTGACAACATACAGTTAAAATTACCACTCTGTTCTTTTCCTTGATCTCAATCCTGTCTCAGCACAGACTGAGGTTTCAGAAAGTATAGGTATTAGGGCAGGGATAAACGATTATTTTTAAACGATTAATCTAGCGATTATTTTTTCGATGCATCGATTAATCTAACGATTAATTTTTTCAGTTCGATTCAATTTTGATTCGATTCGATTATCTCCCCATTCATTGACTAATAGCAATGTATACATTGGGTGTTGTGTGTTGATTTACATATCTGTATGAAAAAACCTGAATTCCTTAACAAAATATATTTATTGCTCTTAAAATTCAAAAATAAGATATTCTTTGCCAAAGGTAGCATAAAACCTTGGAGCCTAATCTATCTTACTGAAAAAAGTGCATCTTATGATTCTTCTTTCAGATGAAAATAACACTTGATGTTTAGCATTCAATAGAATAAAATAAAATTGTTCACCCAAAATACTTGTTTAGAGCAACTGAAAGAATACAGTAGCCAATGTAAACTTGAGGGCTTTAAGCTAAAGAGAGAGGGCTTTTCTAGCAAAAAATAATGAAAATAAACATTTAAAATTCAACACTTATGTTGAACATAGGCCTAGCTTACTGAAAAAATCATCTTCATTCACAAATAACAACTTAGACTCTGACACTTTCCTTTCCCCTTAGGAATACTGTCTGTCTCTTTGTGTGTGCTTGTGGACATTTGCCTTCTGCTTGTGTTGTCATTCTCCATTGACTAAACTAGCACAGCTAGCATGTAGCTCAGCTAGCATGTTCGCCGATCAGATTCAGATTCATTTATTTGCCATTTGCAGTAAAACCACATTGGAAAAACTGTGCAAGACTACCCCGGTGTGCGATGCGGAAGTACAACCTAATAATTAGATAAACCGATGGTGCACCTCCGTGACCACATACTGCTGTTATATAAAGTCTCTTTGGAAGCCTCTGGACACAGAGCCGCTGCAGAATTAGAGAAGAACTTTACACAAAAATCCGCTAGCTAAACGCCGCTAGCTAAACGCCGCTAGCTAAACGCCGCTAGCTAAACGCCGCTAGCTAAACGCCGCTAGCCCAGGACCACTGGTCTGAACACCCCAGCCTCTGTAATTTAGAGTATGTGTGTCTACTGCGCGGTCTGAACACCACATAAGACGGCACTCGCGTACTAGTGGTACTACTCGCTGCCATCTTTGTTTTGAGTATGACAAATCGACGCGCATATTTTGTATCGACGTATTTTTTGCCTCAACGTCATTGATTACGTTGGCGCGTTGTCCCAGCCCTAATGGGTATTCTTGAACAATGAGAGTACAATCCTTGTAGGTGAATTGCTGCACTTTCTTGCCAAGGCACTGCTTTCTGCTTGGGTCCATCTAAATGTTGTTTTAAAAAAATGTAATTATCAATATGTTTATTTCATACATGCACAAGATATGCAACAATTATTCACTGAAAAAAATAAAAGCATAATAATGATAATAATAATAATACAAATACCTGCACATGCTTTGATAGGGGATTAGATGAAGCAAAAAGCTTATATTGATCCAATCCCCTTGCAGAGTGAGCGAGTGAAAGATACACATGCACACAAACACACTCACACAATACTTCAACAACACACATATCATGGGGTAATCCTACACAGACACAGTGAGAACATGCAAACTCCACACAGCCTCAATAATTTTCCAGTACTAAGCAGAAGTCTTTCCCGTCACTCACCTCCCGTCACAAAGGCCATCCATCCATCCATCCATTTTCTTCCGCTTCATCCGTTGCCGGGTCGCGGGGGCAGCAGTCTAAGTAGAGACGCCCAGACTTCCCTATCCACACACACCTCCTCCAGCTCGTCCGGGGGGGACCCCAAGGCGTTCCCAGGCCAGCTGAGAGACATAGTTCCTCCTGGGTCTTCCCCGGGGCCTCCTCCCGGTGGGACACGCCCGGAACACCTTCCCAGGGAGGCCTCCAGGTGGCATCCGAAACAGATGCCCGAGCCACCTCAACTGGTTACTCTCGACGTGGAGAAGCAGCGGCTCTACTCCAAGCACCGATCCGCCTGTCAATCTCACGCTCCATCCTTCCCTCACTCGTGAACAAGACCCCGAGATACTTGAACTCCTCCACTTGAGGAAGGACCTCTCCACCCACCTGGAGAGGGCAAGGCACCTTTTTTTGCGGTGGAGCACCATGGCCTCAGATTTGGAGGTGTTTATTCTCATCCCAGCCGCTTCACACTCGGCTGCAAACCGTCCCAGAGCATGTTGTAGGTCCTGGTTCGTTGGAGCCAACAGGACAACATCGTCCGCAAACAGCAGATTCTGTGCATAAACACAGTGAACAGAGCCGTAGAACAAAGGCACCTACCATAATCACTACTGCATCATCACAACAGACTTTTACCAATTTTTTGCTTCATCTAATGGCGGACCCTCAAGGCCTGCAAGGCCTTCACTGCTGGCCGAAACATGATTACATATATAAATATTTTTAAAAATAATATATATGTATATTATATATATATTTTTTATTATTATTATTCTTTCTTTCTATGTTTATTTTTCCACAAACTACGTTGGTTGCGCAGCTTCCAACTTCAGGTTGTGATTTGGGACGTCCGGCGTCTAACAGAGTTTTTATCCAATCATTACTCAGCCTCATGTGTTGCTATCATAGACACGCCTATCTACGCCGTTCTAACTACTGGGCCAAAAATTGGTCTCTCGTGGAGTGATTCAAAATGGCAGCGGGGGCTGGGAAATGTGAAAAAAACGCATCTGCGCATGCGTCAGCTGGCGCAAGCTCCATCCATTTAAACGAGTGACTTCAAAAATTCACAGCGAGTAATCTAGAGTGGTCCAAAAAAATTCACTCCCCTCAGCATTGACATGTGGAACGGAGCTTTGGGCCAAGAGCCAACTTTCGGACCATCGTGTAAAGGTGTTTTCGAGAAGTAAGAAGATGCTATACATTATCATTAGCTAATTCTTATTCCCGCCCCCACTGGTTGCTATGGCCCAAAATCTGCCACTAGGCCTTCAGAGTCTACATTGCTAGCCCGCGCTAGCTTAAAGTCAATGAAAACAAATCCGGGGCATTAACCAATCAGTGTCAAGTCTCCAACTTCAGGACCAGCTGGCAGGCCCCGAGGAAGCGTGTCTTCTGATTGGATACCCGAGACTTCAATTATTGTCTATGATGCAGCATATTAACGTGCAGACACGTTAATGTGATCAACACAAACAAACAGAAATGCTAATATGTGTAGCACAACAACTTGTTTTAGTTTTTCAACCCTCTACGGCTGAAGGAGGTGAATACATTGTTCTGGTAACTAAATAGTTAGAACGCCTTTCTCAAGAAAAACAGAGACAGAGGGACAGGGAGAGCCAGGATTTTTGCCCCGGGAATAACAGTTTGTCTACCAATTGCTAACCTTCGGAGCTAGGCTACAGAAGACACAGCGCCACGTCCTGCCTCACCACCGGTAAGGAAACAACATTAAAACTGCATCCGATACTTACATTGTAGTTGGACATTCCCACATTAATGCTCAAAACTGTGTCCTAAACGTTCGTGTTGCACTCTGTCATGTTCTCACATACTATTAGAGAAGAAAGGTATGCATTGTGCACGAGATAGCTGGGTTAGGACATCATTGCAGGCGCAGGTCTGAAATGCACGGACCGCCACTGATTTCATCTAATCCCCTATAAAAGCTTGTACAGGTGTTATTTTTCAATAATTGTTGAAATGTGTGCCAATGCGTGCCAAAACTTTTAGTGTCCCTTGTCATCCTGAACTTTTTTTCTTCTTAAATCCTTCGGTTTTCTTTAAATCCAAACATTAGTGCCACAAACTCTGCTCGTCTGACTCCCGCTCTAACTCCCGCTCTGATCAGCAGTTCTGATTGGTCAGAGCGCGGCCGAGCCCCTCTG